ATCCGTATGCTTTTGGTGGTCGTGCATCCTTTCTTATGATTGAATTTCTTGTCCATGCGTCAATTTCCCCTTTCCCATGCATATCTTTCAGCATCTATACCAGAGGCCACAACATCTTGGTCTTCATATCTTCAATTGTATCTATAGTTAAGCTTCCTATTCAGACCTACAAACACTTCCAGATTATCTAAATACCGATAAATTGTCGACACTTCGAGAAAGCATGCTTACTGCTTTCCCCAAGGAATCAGTAAGAAAGTCCACGATCATTATATCATGCACTCCCAAAATACATCCTCTTACCACTCCGCGTTACTATGCTATGTTTTCAAATTCCGTGTAGAATCCATCTAGTTAGCCACATGCATTTGGCCTTCAACCCGTTGAAACCCTGTGCATGATTTAAACACAGAATACAAGTTTAGAATTTACTGAAAGGTCTCGATTGGGTGTGCATTTTTTGATTACACTTTTAATAAGGCTTGGAACACGAGCCTACCTAAATTAGGTAAAGAACATTGAGAAAATATAAAACACCATAAAACTTAAGACCTATTATGTTATTTGACTTGCCAAATATTTTGCATGTTCAAGTCACGGAATCGAGGAGATGAAAATTTATTAGGATGTCGAAATTTGTCAAAAATCCTTCTCGAAAAATGTTTAACACAAAATTTTGGTTATAGCAATGATCGTCACATTTATGTTTCTATTTATTGTATCTCTAATGAAATTGATGGCTTCGAAATATTGGTTTACTTCTGTGTTATTAGATCCCCGTTGCCCTTAAATATGTATTCGCTCATAGAATAGGTAATTCTTAAACGAAATTCTCTCGTTTTCTTATGATTATCATGGGATGGCTCCTGTAGCTTTTTAAGGGCTTTAAGTTTAAATGGTCTTATCTTTTTTCTATTTAAGAGATATTCTTTTGAATTTTGTCTCTATTTAAATGACTTTGCCACTTTCTTTTCCGAGTTATATGTTCCATTTTAATATTGTCTCTGTCACTGCATCTTTAAGCCATAATTCCCCCTGCAACCATACCAGAGGCCACAACATCTTGTTCTTCATATCTTCATAATTCTCCTTACTTTCTCTTTTTCTTACTATGCAATATCTGCCTTTTTTCAGGACACCGCTGCCCGCCTCCGGAGATTACGGAAACTTCGCCACTCTGCCAACTCAGAAGCGGATGGTGGAAGTGGAAGTCGGGTGGTGCTAGAAGGCATGCGTCGGGTTGCCAGAGAGAAGGAGCGCCTTCTACGGCAGAAGCAAGAAGCCGCAGACGAGGAGGAGCGACAGACAAATGCAAAGCGCTGGCAGGATTGTCTGGCCAAGCCACTTCTCGATTACAGCCGCATATTTGATGAGGTGCTTATTATCAACGCTTTCGTATTCTTGTTTGTTGCAAGGATATGTTAAATGTTCGATTATCTAGGATAGTCCTGGTTTTCACTGTCCATTTTAATAAACCTTGAAATGTCTCTTAAGCTAATAGGCAACAAAAAGCATAGAGCGACGCAAACTGACGAAGTAAAACTAAAGAAAGTCAAAGACAGGTTATCTAACGTAATGAAAAATTCATATACATTTTCTCAGAGTATCTAAAACATTGGAATGGCAGGAACGCAACTTTTGGGTATGTTTTGATGTATAATCCATGCTTACTAGCATCTCAAGCGAGAGGCCTAGGATGAGAGGAAGATTTCCTTGGAGCAGAGCTTACGTTAGTGATTACGCAAATACCACTTACCTATTGAATTCGATAGTGTTCCTTCATATTTTGAGTCCAAGTGAGTATTATGCTTTATAATGGATTCAGAGTGTAAAAGTCTTTACAGTTCGCAAACGAGCTAAAAGTCTAGGGAAACCAACTCAATGATGGCTTGTTTTTTCTAGAATTCTTTTGGGCAGTTCTAGCTAAATCTTCTCATTAGATAAGCTTCATTAACAATAGACTAGTTCTCTAATCTTAATGTGCCTCCTCATAACGTTAATTTTTCTCAGAGGCCATATCTCTCGATTTGTACATATGCTCAAGAAGCTGGTTGTATCACTGGACATGCTATCTTTACTCATACCAATTCCTTTTCAAGCATTTATTTATGACTACTAATTCATGCTCATTACCGCACTAACATGGGAATTAGAACGCTCAAAATATTTTACCTAAATTTTAATAAATTGATTTAAAGTTTTCCTTCATTTCTAAATCGCAATTAATGAAATATGTCCAGTTCAATGATCTATGCGAATTTTGTGGATTTTTATGAATCTTACCCAGCCTTAGAATTCTCGTAGACCTTGCTAAATACAAGTCATTTATCCACGATTCCAGGCTTGAAAAGAAAGATAAGTCGGGACAATTATCGACTAGTATTAGTTTGTGAGTTAGATTGAACATGAATTGCCTTCTAGTTAGTCAGCTGTGACTGCTTTTCATGGCTGCTCTGAGAT